TATGAGGAATGTAAACCTTCACGACGACCTTAAATTACAGCTGATACGTAAGTACCTGAAAACAGCGTCGGAACGCTACTCCGAAAAAACGGCGCGACACCCCCTACTACCAGTTACCCAATAACCCTCTTATCGTGGCCGGAAACTGCTAACGTGATCCAGACAGCCAAACGTTTACCATCACCGTCGTATCAAGCGCATCATTTCGGATCCTCCCGATCCACTAACGATGCTTTTAGGCATTTGAAACTCCCGTCGCCGCGTCGTCAAACCCGTCGAATGCGATAATTCAGATTGCGTAGATTCAGCTAAGCACCGCTCTTGCTAGGGCAGATGTTAACACACACAGATTGAGCCCCGTGAGTTCGCCTACACATCCGATGAAGTTAGTATAACCACTTGAGCTTACTAGGAATAGGTAGGAAAAAAAATTATTTTGATTTTTATTTGAAAGCTAATGCTTTCTTTCTAATCATATATTTGATTGACTTGGACTACGTTGAAATTTTCTCATTTTATAATACTGAGGGCGGTTTTTTTTTTTTTAAAATATCATATTATGAATCGATATTATCAACGAATGAATATGAGTCATGATTTTTTAATCAATAAAAACCCTCATAAAATTACCACTGTAATGATTTTCAATAACTGCAGACCATTATGTGGAACAATGCTTTAACTATGAAAAGGGAAATAGACAAAAGAATCAGTCTATGGTCCAACGCCTTTATAACGTAGGGTTTAGCACCATTGCCGTAATATAGATTAGATTTAAAAAAAAACTCACTTGTCAAATCAAAATGGCTCATAAACATTTTGGCGCGAATATGACAAATGAAGTTGTGTTATTAGTGTTAGGGCTTAATTGTGTCGATTTAATATTCCTACTGGCTTAAGCTTGCTGTAATGGTGTGAGTCAATGAAGTAAAGTTGAACGTAGCTTCTCGATTTCCTCCAAAGATACCATTGAGATCTCAGTGATTTCACGACAGAAATAACTAAGATTAGGTGACTTACTGGTGGTAGGACCTCTGGTGAGTCCGCACGGGTAGCTACCGCCGCCTTGCCTATATCTGCCGTGAAGCGGTAATGCGTTTCGGTTTGAAGGGTGGGACACCGTTGTAACTATACTGAGATCTTAGAACTTATATCTCAAGGTGGGCGGCGCATTTACGTTGTAGATGTTTATGGGCTCCAGTAACCACTTAACACCAGGTGCGCTGTGAACTCGTCCACCGACCTAAGCGACAAAAAAATAAAAAAACCTAACATACCAAGGTAATAATACCGTGTCAACAACTTTTTAAAGATGAAGTGAGAATACTCGATTCCCTTGCACCATGTTACGTCAATGTCCGCCATATCAGAGTGCGTTACACCATAGGGGACGTGTTAACCAGGGTCTCAATTACACTTATGTATAAGTTCAGACATTCATATTTTAGTTCACTGAAAACGCATTTATGGTTCATTGTTGTCTAGTCTGCAAGGATCAGACCATCCAAGTTTTACATAAAGAGTGCTCTCATTTGGTCTCGTTTTTTTGTTTGCAAATCGTGGGTAGTTATATAATAAATATTTCGTAATATATGCCACGGACTAAAGGATAAGACGGCTTGCACTTAGGGGTGTTGCGACAGTGCAAACTTTCAAATCTCGATACGAATCTTTTTTGCCACGTACCGTCAGGCTTTGGAATGAGCTCCCCTCCACAGTGTTTCCCGAGCGCTATGACATGTCCTTCTTCAAACGAGGCTTGTGGAGAGTATTAAACTGTAGGCAGCGGCTTGGCTCTGCCTCTGTCATTACTGACGTCCATGAGCGACGGTAACCACTCACCATCAGCTGGGCCGTACGCTCGTATGCCTACAAGGGCAAACAAATTTTTCTAATGCGTACGTGTTTATTTTATTATTATTTTCCAAATTGCTAACGGTGGGGCGTTTTATTGAAGCTCGCGGGTAGACCCACTTTCTTCTTTTTGTCCTTATCCATCATTGCGTGCGGTCGACGCAACATTTCTTCCTCTTATAGGGATTTGGCAGAGTTTTACGATCGCGGCTCTGTGCCATTGTTGATAGTCGTTCAAGAATCTAAGGTCTCCAAGGGGAGAGGGTTTTCAACTGAATTTCCTCATCGGTCTTATACTACGCGCTTTACTCCGGGCCAAGAAAGCTCTTTACAAAATTGTCAAGGTAAAAAGGGATAGACAGTAATTAGGATTTGAAAGGTGCATTAGCCGAACGCGCTAACCGATTGCGCCACGGAGGCGATGGACCTTCTCTTGGATAAATAGCACCGCTGTCAGAGGAAATACTTCCCTATAAATATAGTAATTGGGTCCAATTTCAATTGGATAATGGAAGTACAAAAACAGTCTCGCCCCCGGGTGGACTCGAACCACCAACCTTTCGGTTAACAGCCGAACGCGCTAACCGATTGCGCCACGGAGGCGATGGACCTTCTCTTGGATAAATAGTACCGCTGTCAGAGGAAACACTTCCCTATAAATATAGCAATTTGGTCCAATTTCAATTGGATAATGGAAGTACAAAAACAGTCTCGCCCCCGGGTGGACTCGAACCACCAACCTTTCGGTTAACAGCCGAACGCGCTAACCGATTGCGCCACGGAGGCGATAACATATCGCTTAAATGTACAGTATAAGATTAAAGAATCCATATTACATTTTTTTTCCTACCTAAGCTGATGACATAGAAAGACCATATCAGCGTCACCGAGCTAGTAGGTGAGCTCACGGGGCTCAAACCTGACGATATTGCTAACACGAACCCTAGCAAAAGCCGTGCTTCGCAGAATCTACCACCGGATCGGAAACGGGACCCACTGAGAAGATCCGGCGAGAAACTCAGTGGGCTGTGTCTGTGGGTTAATTAACTCGCCGAGTCCCTCGTCGCAAGCGACGGGTTCGACGACGATGATCGGTGCTTGAAGTACCTAAAAGCACCGTTAGTGGATCGGGAGGGTCCGAGATGACGTGTTTCGGGCGACGTCGACTGTTTACCATTTGGTCCGCAGGATCGATAATGAAGTTACCGGCGGCGACGATGAGAGGGTTCTTGTGTCGTGTCGCTTTATCGAAATGGCGCATTAATGCCGACTGTAGATACTTACTGATGGACTCTAGGTCCAGATCGTCGTGGAGGTCGATATTCCTGACGAAGCACGAGGCTCCGACGGCAAAAACGGGATTGAATGATTTGAAGGGGTTTCAAGTTAGTGCGGGCCGCGTGAGCGAACACTGCGCTTGCATAGGTCATGACGGGGCGTATGCAAGTTTTGTAGAGGGTCACCTTAATGCGAAGAGACAATGCACTTCGCTTGCAAATCATGGGATAGAGGCGTCCTAATATGAAGGCGGCACGGTCGCGTACCGTTTTAATGTTGGGTCGGAATGTCATCCCTCTATCGAGGGTGACGCCAAGATATTTGACCTTCGAGGCCCACGGTATGGGCTGACCAAAGACAGTGATGACGTGTATCCATCAATGCAGAATATGAACCTTTGAAGCTACGAAAAAGACATTTCAACGTAATGAAAGCAGTAGGTATATTTTGTTTATCATATTATCGTGTTCTCTCTCGATCTACTGAACTATGATGTCACTGTGTCAAAAAAAATACATAACATACTATAATAGAATTATTTTGTCGCTGCAGTTTGAGTCATAAAAAATCGGAGCAGTGAAGCGAGTATTTCCCTCTCTCTTCCACTCACGAGCCTTATGGACGGGCATAGTGAAGCGAATTATTGTTTTCGATAAGCGTTATCGATAATGGTGCTGCGCCCGCGCAACATGCTCACCGCCCTATGGCAGCTAGCCGGGCTATGTTTTATGACCCAAACTGCATCAACAAAATAATTCTACTATAGTCAATTCTGATCACTTTTCGCTGTGTTTTTAACAACGAATTCTTGGTAATGTTTGTCAAGCATTCATTCGGTTAACCCGATTGATAATTTTTAATATCGCTTAGACCAGTGATTCCCAAAGGTCAACATCGACAACTTGCACGACTGATAACTGAACCGACCGCAAGGTTTTAAAATTGGTAAGTATTTTGTGTATCGATAGGAAAATTCAAAAGTACGGATGGGGGATTTTTAAAGTAATCTGGGTATGTACTGTGAGGTTTAGCATGGGACCTTTTTTGGATCATTCTGGAAAACAGATCCCTTGCCGAAAGCAGTTGGGAAGTTCTTCTAAAGGTACATTTTGTGTTCTTTGATTTTCTTGTGTTTGTGTGTTAATGTGTGTTTTTTTGTATCATCTTCGGTTTTGTAGAGTCGTAAAATTATACTACTCATAAGGCTCAACCTTGCTTGTGGTCATTACATTATTTCTGACGTCTCCAATGCTTTAGAGTTTTCGTGGTCACGACCGTCTGTCTTATCAGTAGTCGTAAAAGTTATTTTAATTCTGTTTTTTTTTTGTGGTAAGTATTCTTCGATAAACTCTATAATATTAAAGTTAAAACTAGTTCCACAATGACGTTAACCTATTACGTAATTAGTAATTTACATTGCTGTAGATTCTGTTATCATTGGTGGACATATTATCTAACATATAAAATTCTCGTGTCACAATGTTCGTTCCCATACTCCTCCGAAACCGCTTGACCGATTCTCATGAATTTTTTTATGCATATTCAGTAAGCCTGAGAATCGGCTACTATCTATTTTTCATACCCTTAAGTGATAAGGGTTGTCCACCTCTAAGATTTATTTTTTATTTTTTGGACAATTTTTTTTTTTGTTATAATGAGACATTATGTGGTTGAATGAGTTATTGTTATTTTTATATTCCTTCATCGTTCACAGCGCTACATGCCTCTTTCACGCATCTACCATATCCTTACACACTTACAATAAGTTAGTTTTCTTTTTCTACACTAGAAATTCCCTAGAAATCTTATGTATGGCAAAACAACGTTTGCCGGGTCAGCTAGTAATATATAATAATTACATTTGTTAGACGATCATTAAAGTTTAAGTTGTGTTTTTAACTGTTATGCTACGAACAGTTTCAGAAAAAAAAGAAGATAATTCACACATATATATTTAATAGTTTTTATACCAAGCTTCATCGTTTTATACATCAGCTTGAGAAAAGAGCGTGCGTTAATTCGAAGGTATCGGTTACTTTATGCATTTCTGTTCGCATTCGGCCAATGTGTTGAAACGATTGTCGTTCCCCTGGCAGCCTCCGTAAATGAATTCTTCACACTTCTTCGTCTCCTGGTTGTACGAATATCTACAAGAGGAATATAAATAAGACATACGGTACATATTCCAGATTAAGTCCCCAACAAACCGGGTTCTGTAAGGTTTGTATCTTAGGTCTGATTTGCCTGCGTACAAAAATATCGCGTTGACAACCAACCCATTGGTACTAATTTTCGAGACAACTATTCTGTGTGGTCATTGGATATCACTGAAATTTTTGAATACAATACTTCGGCCTCATCTCTGGATATGAGTGGAGGCATTCGGGTTGTGGTGTTCCGGCAATCACCAGCTTCGGGTGTTTGTTTGCAGTTTTATTCAGAAGTTTGGAGAAAATTAAAATTTTATATATGTATAATAGGGATCGCGGTGCATAAAATAAAACTTACACTGTCCCAAAATCTTCTGTTATTATAATAAAAAATTATCTAACACCTTTCTTAAGCCTTAACCGTCTTCGCTATCTTCTTTTTCTCTGTCATTCTCTTTTCCCTTTCTTATCGTTTTCTCTCACTCACTTCTTAACGCTCCTTTCCACACGTTCCATTGTTACCAATCCTACATATCTATGTTTATCGGTCCAAGGGTTAAGCTAATTCCTCAATGAACGAGACAGAGGAGGTACATGCGAGGCCAAGTTCGTAATGAAACTTTTATATACAGACAGGAAAAGACAAATTAGTTTAGTACCATTTTACGATTTGCCCGTCAGCCAATTTCCAAAATCAGTGTCGCAGTCTCAACCGAAGGCGCAGCGAGAGTAGTCTTCGGTAGGTGAGTGGACCAACAAACTGCTAAAGGTCGCGGCAATCCACTAGATACAGTAGCGGTCAACATGGCAAGCCTTGGGGATGGCTTTGGTCCAGCAGCGGACGTTCGTGGGTTGATGATAGTGATCTTTGAATTTCGATCATCGGGCAAACACTAGTTTTAATAACAAAACTCACAGCTTAAAGTGGGCTTTACAAGGGCCCGCATCGCCAAAAGCCTGCTCGCATATCGACTCCGTTGTTGGCTCTGAAAACATAGGGGAAAAGTTTCTTGAAGAGCTTTGATTTGGGAAACGCTCAAGCAGTGGTGGAACTATAAGCCGGCCAATCTCTGGAATTCACTGGGGACAATGGTAGCCCGTGAGTATTAAATATCTTTGTATAGGGCCAGTTAGATTTTATTAATGTAACCCCGCACGTGCTTGTTCCATATTCCTGCCTACAGAGGACATGCTATGTACAAAGAAATAACAGAAAAATTATAATACTCACCATCACTCATGACTGACGTCAAGCACGCAGCGATGAGAACGCCCGTGAACAGGAAAAGCACTGATCTCAACATGACTTCTCTGCTTCAATATTGTATGTCTTATATTCAAGAGCCAATCGCTGTTTATATAGCCAACGCTATCTGACCTCGATCTAGGGTCAAGATGATTAAAATTTTTGACTGACAAAACACTGCGTTTTTTCGTGCATGATATCGTCTGGTATAATCTATTCTTTGTCGTATCACTCTTGTCAGAGCGGTCGTGGTCGTCATTCGGTATCATTGTATAACGTGTCTGTGTCTAAGGGTGTCCCTGGTATGCCGATGTTACATGAGGCCCAGTCGCGTCACTCCCCAAAAGGTGGTCTATGGGTCGAGAGACACGGGGCCGAGTCGCACCACTTCTAGACACGTCACCACCGGTAGACAACCGGTGAACAGGAGACTCTGTGAGGAGGATCTCAGGGCGCCACCACTTACCGCTCTGGGAGACTCACGCCAATAAATGAAACAATTACAATATATATTACACTTGAGTTTATTAACTACACATGAATAAAGATTCGATGGTTATAATTGTTTACACAGAATGAATTTAGTGGTAAGGTATCCTTGATTAAATGTGTGTCGGTAAGTATACCGAACACACGGGAAAGTATTTAAGAAAGTGAGATTAAAATAACAATATTATAAATAAAGACGGTATCACCAGTTTGGTTCACAAAATGACGATAAACGTTTACTGGATTGCTTCCCCGCAACTGGGGTTGCTGGATCCGAGCCAGGTTGTGTATGCAGGTGTGTTTCTTTGTTCTACGGTAGCCAAGTACTTTCTTGGATCGCCTAGCCAGAGCACCTCGCTTCCGGCAGCGTCCACGTAGAAAAGTACTGCGGGATCTCGAAGGTGATAATAAGTCACACTCCGCACCCTAACTGATGTACATGTACTGTACCAGTTATTAACCTACACGACAAGACAAAGTGGTGTTAACTTCTATTTAGATAAAGGTTGTGGACACAGTGTGGAGAATAAATTATGAAACACTTACCCTGGTTGAATAAAAATACACCAAGGAACTGTTAAATTGACTTTGGTAAATACGTAATAAAACTTGCACTGCAGCTCGAGAGATGATTGAAAAAGGCTTCGGACAAAGTGACTTGTCCTTTTATACGAATTGTCTTACGGTTCTCGAATGTTCTGCCTATAGTGCTGTGACAATCTCACCCTCGAACCACAGACAAGATAGCACGGTCACGCCATGCAGTGTCGAATAAGTGCACTCCGCAGTGTTTCACAATTATATATTTCTCCACACTGCGCCACGTATACGCTAGAGGGTGTTAATTTCAAAAAAAAATTAATTTCAATTTTCTAGCGTTACAATTGCTACGGGCAGATGTTATGATCCTCACGGGCAATCGCCACTTCTCCCGGTTTGTAGTGAGCCTGGTACACTCATGCAAACAACCGCCAAATGCCGACTTTACTTGGTCGGTCCATCGTACGGGCAACCTTCCACGCGGTCTAGTGCCTTTTAGTTTACCCTGAACGACAAAGCGCTCTATGGAGTCACTTCCTCGCCTGGAGATGTGCCCAAAAAATACTCAAAAAATAATGAATATGCGACCATGCACGAAAGCCAAAAATGCTGCTTAATGCCGAAAAGTGATATAAGTGATTATTTGTATTATTAATATCACTTTATAAGTGACATAAAAACAAAAATTCATGCAATTCTTAACTAATAAAAGTATTATATACATATTTGTTAAATAATATTAGGTATTATTTCCCACTTGCAAGAACCCCTCCTCGGGTAAAGGCCTCCTCCAAGGATAGCCAATCTTCTCTGGATTGCGCAATTTTAACCCAATTTATAGTTGTTACTTTCTTTATATCGTCTTCCCATCTAGTATATGGTCTTCCCCTCTTTCTTTTTCCTAGTGGACCCGTCCATATTGTTACCTTTTTTTGTACATCTCTGGTCCTGAAGGCGTTCAATATGTCCAGCCCATTGCGATTTAAAAGTTAAGGCTTGAACTAGTACATCAGTTGCTTGCTAATTTTTCTGATTTTTGAGTGACGGATTTTTTGTATTTTCTTTAAATTTAGCATACTACGCTCCATTCCTCTTTGGCATGTGACTCTACGATTTACTTGTAGGTCATTGCAATTTCCGTTGAACCCTATTTGTTTGCCAAGGTATGTGTATACTTCTGTCTACTTCAGAGGTTCGCCTTCGACTGATATTGGTGTCTTTGTGTTGTTAGTCATAAGCATAGTTTTAGTACCGTTAATTTCTAAGCCTACTTTCTTGCTAGCTTCGTTTAATGATTCTATAATGGTTTGTAGTTGAAATCTAGTTTCTGTAATAAGCACTATGTCATCTGCGAATCGTAGGTGGCTTAGGTAGCCATTTTTAATCTTAATTCCGTATCCCCTCCAGTCTAGTGAGCTAATTATCGATTCTAGTGTGGCTATGAATAATTTTGGGGATAGTGGATCGGCTTGTTTAACTCCTCTTTTTACCGGAAACCAGGGGCCAGCTGTCTCTAGTTTAACTCTATTTCTGCTATTTTTGTAGATGTTTTTGATTACATTTATGTACTGCTCTTCCACTTTTTGGCATCTTAGAGATTCCCAAATGCTGTCGTGGGATATGGTGTCGAAGACCTGGTAGTCAATAAACGCAAGGTAAAGTGGTCTCTGCTTTTCTTGGTATTTCTCTATAAGAAGCTCTAGCGTATGTATGTGGTTCGTAGTTGAAAATCCTTTTCTGAAGGCCGCCTGTTCCACAGGTTGCCTTAATTCTACTACACTACTTATTCTCTCGTTAATAATTGAGGAATAAAGTTTGTAGGTTAATAGTAGCAGGCTTATCGGTCTGTAGTTCCCCACGTCGTTTGGATCTCCTTTTTTGTAGAGTAAAATTAATTTTGACTCTGACCATTGGGTGGGTGTCTCTGCAGTTTCCAGAATCAAAATAAACAATATTGTGTAAGGAGAAGCCAGCAAAGGTGTAGCTAGTTTTAGAGATTCATTTGTAATGTTATACGGGCCAGGGCTTTTGTCTAATCTTAGTTTCTCCATGGCTCTTATGACTTCGCTCACCTCTATGTGAGCTACATTTTTGTTTTCAATCATGTATGTTGTACTTTGACTTGTGTTGATGTTGCTGTGTTCGCCGAGTTAAAATTAAAATCGAAATTATGTACGTAGCATCCTCCTCTTTGCGTTAACAACCCTCAATGCTGAGGTCGTGGCCTCATGAGGCTTTCTTGGGAAAATACACATGGTGAAGCTCTACGTCCTTCCACGGCAGTCCTTTTCGAAGAGACTTAGTTCTTCGAGGCCGCTGAAGCCTTATTTGGGTCCGACTAATTAACTATGTAACTATACTGAGACCTTAGAACTCATATCTCAAGGTAGGTGGCGGTATTTACGTTGTAGATGTCTATGGGCTCCGGAAACCACTTAACACCGGGTGGGGCTCGTCCACCGACCTAAGCGATAAAAAAATTAAAAACCTAACATACCAAAGTAATAAAACCCTGTCAATGACTTTTTTAGAGATAAAGTGAGAATGCTCGATTCCCTCGCACCATGTTACGTCAACGTCCGCCATATCAGAGTGCGTTACACCATAGGGGACGTGTTAACCAGGGTCTCAATTACACTTATGTATAAGTTCAGACATTCATATTTTAGTTCACTGAAAACGCATTTATGGTTCATTGTTGTCTAGTCTGCAAGTATCAGACCATTCTAGTTTTACTTATAGAGGGCTTTCATCTGTTCTCTTTTTTATTTGCAAATCGTGGGTAGTTATATAATAAATATTTCTTAATAGATGCCACGGACTAAAGGATAAGACGGCTTGCACTTAGGGGTGTTGCGACAGTGAAAACTTTCAAATCTCGATACGAATCTTTTTTGCCACGTACCGTCAGGCTTTGGAATGAGCTCCCCTCCACGGTGTTTCCCGAGCGCTATGACATGTCCTTCTTCAAACGAGGCTTGTGGAGAGTATTAAACTGTAGACAGCGGCTTGATTCTGACCCTGTCATTGCTGATCGCCATGAGCGACAGTAACCACTCACAATCAGCTGGGCCGTACGCACGTATGCCTACAAGGGCAAAAAAAAGGTGCAAATTTTTCTAATAGGTACGTGTTTATTTTATTACTAGCGACCCGCCCTCGCTTCGCTTCGGAAACATTAAAACACACATGAAACCAAAAAAATAAAATAAAAAAAAATAAAAAAGTAGCCTATGTTCATCAGGGACAATGTCGGCTTCTAATGAAAAAAGAATTTTTCAAATCGGTCCAGTAGTTTCGGAGCCTATTCGAAACAAACAAACAAACAAATCTTTCCTCTTTATAATATTAGTATAGATTTTTCAAATTGCTGACGGTAGGGCGTTTTATTTAAACTCGCGGGTAGACCCCACTTTATTCTTTTAGTTCTTATCCATCATTGCATGCGGTCGACGCAACATTTCTTCCTCTTATAGGGATTTGGCAGAGTTTTACGACCGCCCACCTGCCTGACGTCAACTCCTCTTGGCTTATATCTCCATATACCTATCAAGATCCTAAGGTCTCTAAGGGCGAGGGGGCTTTCAACTGAATTTGGCCAACGGTATTGTACTACGCGCTTTACTCCGGGCCAAGAAAGCTCCACGTGCCATTAGGTCGGACGTTTTCTGTTTATATTGGTTCTATGATCTTCAATTTATCATTATACAATATCACATTGTATTCTTTTTGTACTTTTTTTACAAAATTGTCAAGTAAAAAGGGAAAGACAGTAATTAGGATTTGAAAGATGCATTAGCCGTTACCATATACCAGTGAGGTTGGCGCCTCGTGTATCAAGGTCGGTGGCGGAATTCACATTATGTATGGACTTAGATAACCACTTCACACCCGGTAAGCCGTGAGCTCTTTCATCCGTGTGCACACTAAAAAAAGTTAATAACTGACCTGAAGCTTAAAACACTCATAGCTAAGAGCTTCTCAGCAATTTTAAGAAACATAATATACTCGTACATATGTTAAATAAAA